CTGGCCCAAGCAGTGCTTTCAAGTAGCAAAGAGGTTGTTCTGTTTCAGTGCATGAGTCATTTGGCTTTAATGCTTTACCTGTGGCTCAGAGGCTGAGCTCTGGCACTGGCTCAGGATGCAGTGCAACCTATTGACTGCCCAGGGACAGAGAGAGAGAGAAGAGAAGAGAAAAGAGAGAAAGCAGAGTGAAAGAGGAAGAAAAGGGGAGCTATAGTAGGGAGAGAGTGTGTGCTGGTGAGTGACAGACACACAGAGAGGGGGAGACGGAGGCAAAAGAAGCGAGGGCTTTCTTCTCTTGTTTTTTCTTTTGGGCTCGGTTCAAGATTCCCCGTCGGGAGAGAAGCCTCCTCTGAAGAGGCGGCTGTTCAGGACCTCAATGGCATCCCGCATGTTTGCTTGTGTGTGTGTGTTTTTGTGTAAGCTTTCCAAAAAGAGAGGGGTTGATGGAGTCAGTTGGACACTGATTGGAGTCAAAACCATTATCCCGGCAGACGGATTGTGCACTCGGAGCAACTCGCACCTCATGCAAACACATCCAAAGAGCATGCACACAAAGACAAACAGGCACACCTGACACCGGCGGCTGATCATCTACAGCAAAGCGGGCCGCCTCATCCCACACTGGACCACCGTTTACTGACTTCATGTAACACACCAACGGTCCAGAGCTGCTGAATATCATCCTCGTCGACTATCCCAAAACACCGCCCCGCTTTCATCCATGTCGGCCGCTAAAATGATGATCCATGACAAATTAAATCTTGAGTCAGACACGTTCCTTGGCGGTGAAGTTCCTGAGGCTGCACTGCATTAGATCAGGAATAACGATGCGTCTCTTTATGGATGTAACCGCTTCTCAGAGGCGCTTTCCCTTACGCTCTGTCGTTCCGGTCGCTGGCCACCACTGGACTGTGACAATATGTTTCCTTAAGCTGTGCAAATCAACACGAGTGGCCTGCAAACCATGAAATCAGAGCGCCGCCGTCGTGATTTGTTGCTGTGGCGATGCAAACGGGCCTGAATCAACGTTTTTAAAAAGCACTTAACCATCTGAACACCTTCACAGCCCAATAACCAAAGACTACTTGCTTTCCTTTGCGGCTGATTTAAGATGCGTAGCTGCACAGCTCCATGTGACAGATATTTTTTGCATTGTGTCTCTCATACATATATGGAAATTATACTGTATGTGACCAAGAAATGTATCACACAATGCGCCACTGGCAGTGTACCATACGCAGTCTCACAGCTACATGTCAAGACAGAGAGACGACAGCTTGCAGAATTACTTCAGCGCCGCTACATGAACCTTCTGATTCGTTCATGGCTGTCGGCTATTTTCATTGTTTGCGAGCTTCAGTGTCTCGGTGTCCAACACTGTTGTCGAGAGCTAATATGGTTCCACATATCCACCGTGAGCCGCCAAGAACTCTGAGAATGTTTTTTTTTCCATCTGTGCATTCTTTAAAGCTCTGATCCTTTTGTGTGTAGATTAGCATCCATATGTCCGTTTCGGAGTCCGCGTTGGCTACATCTGGGGAACGCTCGGTTTGATTCGCTCAAACAGAAACGGAATAAACACAGTTGCGCGGCCAACTTAACCGGAGCGCTCGCGCGGGCCGTGCTAATCAACTATTATGTAAGAAAGCTCTTTGTGCAATCAAATTCAGCTGCCACTCAAGAGTCATTCATCTTGATTGAAAAATGTGACGGCCTCATTTTCATTGAGTCGACAGCTGCATGCGTATCATTCCTCCTTCGTCCTGGTTGCCTGTAAGGCTGCAGAAAGGGACAAGGCGAGATATCTGACAAGACAACCTACAGTATGTTCTGTCAGGGTGTATGTACTGTATTAGTAGCTTGATGCTTGATTACAGGGGCGCAGTTGGTAGCACTGTTGTGTCGCAGCAAGAAGGTCGCTGGTTTTCTGCGTGGAGTTTGCATGTTCTCTCCCGTGCAGCGTGGGTTCTCTCCAGGTTCTCCAGCTTCCTCCCACACAGTCCAAAAACATGTTGAGGTTGCTTCTAAATTGTCCGTAGGTGTGAATGTGAGTGTGCTTGGTTGTCTGTCTCTAAGTGTGGCCCTGTGATAGACTGGCGACCTGTCCAGGGTGTCCCCTGCCTTCGCCCTCAGTAGGCTGGGACAGACTCCAGCCCCCCACGACCCCAGTGAGGATTAAGCGGTGTATAGATAATGAATGGATGGATGGATGTTTGATTACAGCTAATCAACTTAAGTAAATGTGTTTGCTAGAACTCTTAATTAGCGCAAACCTTTTAAAGTATGAGGACATATTATTACATCTGGGGTCTCGTCAGGTTACAAGTAGGCAGGTGCAGGATCCAACTCTGATGCAAAAGCACAATTGAACACGTGCACGAAGGCAATTGCACAAAGTCCAAGTGTACCTACTATAGTTTCATTACACATGCAGCATATGTGCAAAAGAGTTTGCGTAGCTGAGCACAGCTTGATGGGAACTGTGATAAATCTCAGCAGTATTGCCTGTTTAATACCTTTTGAACAGATGTGCCAATCACAGAGGCACATTAAGAAAATGGCTCCTCTAAATGACAGGAAAGTGCAGATCATGTCCTCTAAGAGGCTTAAATGTTTTTGGAATGCATGAAAAAAAAAAAAACCCAAAGCCTTAATTGTGTTCCTCGAGGTTTTATGTGAAATGATAGCAGCTCCAGGCAACCGGTTCTGATTTATAGGTTGTATTTTGGTTAGTGTATTACAGACCGTGAAATCTGGTCACCATATTGAGAACAAAGTAATGATGTCTGTAGTTACTGCAGTAGATTAATAAAAGGCTGCTGGTAAGTTATTTAATTGTATTAAATTACATAAAATATAGTTATACTCACATGATGCACTAATCATGTGGTAAATTGGAAAAGTGAATCATTTACAGGTTTTTATCTTCTTCTCTTTCTTCACTCTTTACTATTTATAGCATTTCTGATTAATGTTATTGAGTTTTCAGTAGAATTCCATCTAAATTTGTGCCGTTATGTCTTATTTTCTCCTTATATGATGCGCTAGAGCATAACATTTTATTTCAATGTTTTGGCTGAAAGAAATTCAAGTAACTTCAAACTCTAGTAGCCTCTTGGGCCAGAGGTCCAAAAAAAAAAAAGTTTCCAGCCCTGCACACACATCCTCTATGGATCCATACACAAACAGAATTTCATATGAGCTATTCTTCCTGAGAGTGGAACGCAGATTGAAATTCACCACTTACTCAGAGCTGTGCCACTTAAGTGTGTTCTATGCATCCAGCCCCGTGATTGTTATCCAGCCATGTTTTTTCTGCTGCATGTTAATATGAAGGAAGAAGAAGAACAGGCGCTTGAAACAAGTGGAACTGCATCCAGCTGCAGGATGAAATAGAGGTTATTCCGTATTTTGGCTCAATGACACTTCAGCAGGTCAGATAATTGCAACCACTGTGACATGGGCTCGGGCTTCCCTGTGGCTGCCTCGCACATACACACAGAGGCTGCAGTATTCTACACAGTGTGATACCCGATGCGGGGTGCATGTAGGGGAAAGCCCCCATTTAAATCAGGGCCTTCTAATTAGTGAGCACCACTTGGGAGGAACAGGGAAGCCACAGGAACTGCTCCTGGGCTCATTACTGGTACATCCAGTCCTGGAAATTGGAGATCAGCCTTTCAGTTAATATCTCCAGAGCTCTGATTTTTCAGCATCGTGGCATTAGTGACACAGTTGTTCAAGCATTAACAACAATAACCCCAGCCGTGGGTGATAACTCCCAAATGACAGGCCCACCTGCACCTGCAAAAACAACACACACAGACTGCTGGAAGTTACTTTGGATTACACACATCTGTTTAAATACGGTGAGCCGATAGATGAAGAGCCTCTCTAACCAAGCCTACGCTGTCTGTGGCTGAGCAGCACACTGTCTGTTCGTAGCTTTGGTGAGAGAGAGTCTGTCTGCAGTGCAGCAGCAAACATGAACATCCAAAAGCATCTCCTCAGAGCTGGCCGCAGTGGGCTCCACCAAGCAGAGCTGATTTACACCGTGGGGCGAGAACCCGGGAACCACAGGGGTTGTGAGTCGTCACCGAGTCGCCACCCACACCGGGAACGCCACCCAATACCTGATGAAGAGACGACACCGTGCCGGAGACGAGTGTTTCCCAAAAGAGAGCTGCTGACGCGTGAGCTCGCAGCCACAGTCAGCGGGACGGGCGACAGTTGATAGTGTTGGAAACAAACACAAACATGACAGCACAAATGCGTGTGCGAGGCTTTCTCCTTGAACACGGACTAAAAGCACTTCATTCACAAAACGACGCACGAGCTGCCCACGCAGAGCTCAGCCCTGCATGACACACTTTACATTAGACGCATGCAGCCGCCCACGCGATCGCATGTACGACTTGCACGCGCACACGCTGGAGTGCCCTCTCGCTTTACAGTGTTGTCTCGGAACCTCACAGTTCTGCTGCACTGCACTCCCGTGTGCCTCTACAGGGTTTCCCTCAAAACAGGAAAAAAAAATAATGCTGCTGCACTATTTTAATCCGATGCCCTCCCCAAAAAAACACACATTAATTTAGCTACCACCACTCCCTGAAGTCAACCTGGATCATTGATGACAGTGTGTGGAACATGCAAACCATCCAACGGGGTAAACACCTAAAAAAAAAAGAGCTAACAAATCTAAGTTGCTGCAGCAGAAGAGGATTTATTGCAGAGCTCTACTGGCAAATATGATGTGGTCTATAGCAGAGCACAGAGCTGCACACACACATACGGATAATTGGATATGTTACTGATCAGCCTATGTTGGGACTTGTTTGCACACAACTTCTGCCAAAATATCACCTCCTCATTAGAACATGTCAACCCCCCCTCCCCTCCCTGCCCTCCCTCCATCAGGGAGAAGCAAGCAAAAGACGCTCCTCCGTCAAGCACTACATCAAATGCCGAATGAAAACAGCAAACCAAGAGACAGAACTTACCTGGCACAGAGTCTAAAAGCAGGAGGCATCTAAGAGCGCGAGCTTCTCTGTCATCCGAAGACAGCAGAAGATCACAGAATCATACGTGCGAGAGGTGTTGGATTAGAGACTTCCTGAGCTCTCTCATCTATCCTATGACTTTTTTTTCCCCCCTCACATTTATCCAGACCCCTCTGACGATAGGTAGAGGGGTGGAGGAGGTTGAGGGTAAGGAGGGTGGGGAGGGGAGGCAAAAAAAGAACGATGCCTGCGAACGGAGAAGAAGAAAAAAAAAAAGAGGGTGGGAAAATGACAGCGAGATGCTCAGATCTCCTCCACTGAGACGAGTTGTGAGCGCACCGTGAGGACCATCCACTGCAGCAGAGCAGAGTAGCGCGCAGCAAAAGAGGGAGAGGGAGAGCGGAGAGGAGAGAGGCAGGCGAAACAGGCATTTACTGCTGCTGGTTCCAACAGCATGGCTGGAGCAAAAATCTGGGGCTGGAGTCTGGATCCTGGTTTTCTCCTCCACTGAGCATGTACCCGAACAGATGGAGAGTTATGGGGAGAATGGTGGGAGAGTAACAGAGAAAGAGATAGCAAGGGGCTTATTTTTTTATTTTTTTTCTCCATGGCACCGAGCAGACTGTTCCACTATCTCCGTGTCATTTCTCTCTTGCGTGACATCTAATATTTTTCTCTCCCTCCCTCGCTCCACCACTGCATGCTCATCACCGTTCCCCCCCAGCTTCTACGGCGTCGCTGTGGATAAACTATTAAACTGACATCGAATCAAGAGCTCTTTCCAAAGAGCTTTCAGCCGCTTTGACGCCACCGTCACCTCCGACAAAGGCTGTCATCCTCTTTTGTTTTCTTTCTCTATCTCTGTATTTCTCTTTCTTGCGCTGTCAACAATAATAGATGTGGAGTTTTGCGCCCTTTCTCGAGATTTTTAAGGTGAAATGAATGCAGAATAAACCACGGGGTTCGATGAAGTTGCGTAACCTGTCAAGACATGGAGTGGCGGCACAATGTAGTGAACATGCATACCTTAAAGCGTGCCGGATTTCAAGGGAATACTCTCCAACAATGTGGCACATTTAGCCATCCATCAATCTCTCTTATGGAGCAATTGGGCCGCCTGGCTGAAGTGTCTCTTGCTTGCTGTAACAGGGGAACAGGCTTTTAGTTGGAGTCCTTCGGCCCCAGCAGGGCTCAAGGTCGCTTGGCAGAGCTGCTTGCCGGCAGCCCAAATCCTTCAATGATTAACAGTGGCAGACAGGATGGAGCAGCTGTCAATCCAGATCTATAGTCTCGGCCAAGAGAGTCGGCCAGCAACCCACCGTGCATTCTAACAGTGCTCAACCAGGTAGAGCGGGGATTTATGAGTCTGCCGCGAAAAAACTCATCCCGCCTTCATTGAAAAGGTGGGGACATGCATAATACCGATATTGTTCCGTGTCTCAATCAGGTGGGGAAATTAAAGAGAAGAAAGGGGGCAAGGCATAGGAGGGAATGGGCTGTCTGGGTTTGTAATGAGGCTGTAACTCAGATCTCTGATCAGACAGCTGAGCTTAGCAACCGTATCAGTCAAGGTTGAGATTTCTTCATATGCAAAGCCCTCCAAAAGTTTTTTTCTAAGAAATGTTTGTGTGTATTTACGATTCGTAATCCTGTAATATAACACTGGGGTCATTAGCTCATGGATGCTGGTAACAGGTGGGAGAATCTATTAACAAGAGCTGTTTCCAGCTGATAAAATTCGTGAATGTCAGCTAGAAAGTAGACCAACTGTTTTAAAAGTTGCTTTGAGTTGTAAGTTCACTGGGATTACAGTTGTAAGCTACATACCCGGTATGTTAGAGTATCAACAGGACACAGGGGTTAATATATGTAAGACAATCTAAACATTGTTGCACACTTTCATGGCAACAGCACTCCTCAATGGTAGCTCCCCAGTGGGACAATGCACCACGCCAATAAAACTGCTCAGGAAGAGTTTGAGGAACACGTCAAAGAGTCCAGGCGTTGACCACACCTCCAAACTCGCCAGGTCCCAATCCAATCAAGCATTTGGAGAATGCGGCGGAACAAGCTCAGGACTCAAACTCAGACTTACATAAAGATGGACAAACCCTTCGTGACATCATCTATTGGTTTTCCAAACAGGGGTTTTTGGTAGCTCCAACTGTTGTCAACTAGGCAGCAGTGAAATCCTACAAACTTCCAGTTAATCCAAAAATTAGCAAATAGCTGAAGCAGGACTGGAGTCTTGTTGGGCCATGCAAATGTGAAATCAGCACTGTCTGAGAAAACTTTCACAAAAAATAGTCAACAAATTGAGTTGGCATCTACTTTTAAACATCTAGGATTTTTAAATGACAACCATTTGTCTTTTAGGGAGCACATTCAGTATATGGTTTTAAAAAATGAAACTCTTATTAGGATTTTGTTTCAGAAACAAGTCTTGTTTTTCTTTGTATGTGAAACAGAAATTGGTGGAAACAACTTTTTTGCCTGTTATTGACTATGGGGATGTGGTGTATATGAAGCTAATGCTAATTGTCTTAGCCGGCTGGATAGTGTGTACCACCTGAGATTCATTATCAAATGTGGTCCCCTCACTCACCACTGTGTACTCTATTCTAAAGTTAATTGGACATCTTTAAGTGCCCAAAGTCTCAGTAGTTGATATGTGTTTAATTCAATTCAATTTTGTTTTATTTGTATAGCGCATATTTACAACAACAAGTCATCTCATAGTGCTTAACAAAGGCGGAAACACCAAACAATCCAAAACATTTGGATTCCCTATCAGCTTCAGCAGTCCGCAAGCAGTCTGCAACAGTGGGAAGGAACCGAAAACCCCCACAGGGGAACAAAAACCTCAGACAGAACAAGACTCAGGGAGGGACGGCCATCTGCCTCGACCGGTTCTGGGTATTGTTCCTTCCTATTTGTCTTGTCTTTTACCAAGAAAACATGGAAGTCAAAGTCTCCGATCTATGGATACTCTGCAGTTTGTCGTCCCCAAAGTACGATCTGAACTGGGCAAGAAAGCATTTAGGTTTCCATAATACAATTTGAATGGGCAAGCTATTTATAAACTCACCCCTGCACAGTTGTCATAAATGAGAAAATGAGCCATAGTGACCCAAAACCGTTTTTTGTCCCAGACTGTAAACATGTTTATTTCTGCTGTAAAGCCGGGCATTCTAACATAGGGATCTATGGGAATTGGCTCGCTTTTGGAGCCAGTCTCAAGTGGCCATTGAAGGAATTACAGTTTTTGGCACTTATGTTTTGGCTTCATTGTTTAGCCCTGGAGGTTGCTGCTTGGACCCCAAGGATCCACTGCCAACATCCTGGTGCCAAAGACCACAGAACACTGCCAGAGATCCCGTGTCCGTGGTCGCATGGGTCAGCGCTGTTTGGCAGCACAATGGCTACGTGAATCATTTTAGGCAGCGGGTTTTATTGTCACATGACATCACACCACAGTGACAGTGGATTTGATCAGTCAGCACATTGTTTTCAGTAAATCACAAAATCTTCTTCTGCATTTTTTAAGTCTCTGCCAGAGAAGGATTAAAGTGTATTTTGTACAACATGCGGGAATGATTGCAACAGCCAATTTAGAAATAGATCTGTACTCTGAGCAAGTATTTAATCCACTCACCTGCTTTCACAAAAGCGTTTTAAGTAAGACATAAAATTTAAAAGATTCAAGCGCCAATCATGTTAAAAATATGCTGTCTGTAAAAGAAAACAGGATTTAGGAAGCTCCACAACACTCGATAAATCCAGCATAACGCAGCTGTTCATTACAGTTAAACATGATCTGTCAGATAAAAAGACAAAACAGTTTGAGATTCTCTGTAATCTCATGTAAGTCCAGTCCCTCGGTTATCTCATGGCTCGCTATGAATACTCCTTTTAATTTTCTACCTTTTACTTTTTCCTTCCTCCTCTTCATCTTCCTTCCTTATCCTTTCTTCTCCTCGATCTCTCTTCCGTTTTTTTCTCAGGTGTTATCACTCTCCGAGCTCTACACATCCTGAACGCACAATGCCTCTACTCTCCTGTGTCGGGTGTTTCTCGGTCAGCTGGAAAAGCAGGCCTTCCTCTCTTTGTGAATAACAAATCTCATCTCACAAAAATATTCATTTCACGGGTCGCTGTCCCATACAAGCCAATATCCACGCAGGGAAAGGCATTAAGCATTATTCCCTTCTCTATTCAAATTGGAAACAGCAAAAGTGGGGCTGTGCCAGAGATATCAGCCTCCTGCTGTACGCGGTTTGTCCTTGTAATGAGGTTGCAGCCGCTGCTAACTATTCATTCCAGTCATTCACCAGCAGGCCTTATCGCTGCTCTCGAATGACTTTGGCTAAATGACGTGCAAAGGAGACACGTCTCACCTGTCTTGTTGTGTTGGACTGATGCGCTCTGGGCAGTTTGTCATCGTTTAATGATACACATGAAAACCCCCACGAAGGCCACTCACTGTTGAAGGGATTATCCACGGAGGGTCAAATTTCAAAACTTATTTCCTCATTTGAAGCAACAGAAAATATGTGAAAAGATAATTGAGATATCATCCTGGCGTTAAACACATTTCTACAGTTCCGAAGCCTGAAGCTACAACATTCAGGAAAAAAACATCCCAACCCCTCCCGCAGGTCTCCTCTAAAACACATGAACACATAGCGCCTGAGTACAGCTGGAGGACTAATCCACGACAGAGAGCATCGGCGAGGAGAGGAGCGCATTAAAACTACCTCTGTCGAAAAACACAAATAGGTTACATCACCACATTTTGCAAAACCC